CACGCAGGCGAGCGGGTGCCCGAGTCACTTAACGTAAAAAAGATGCTAATATGGCCGTGGCTCAGAGGGTGCGTCAGAAAGGAAGTGAGACAGCATCTTAGTCGACGCTTCGCCATCTTCGATGCCTCGTTGGCGGCGCCCACGATATCCTCAAGAGGGGGCAGGTCTCCATCCTCCAAGGCCTGCTGAGGCCAAGCTGAGCATGCGGTGGATGCGCCCTGCGATCTGCGTAGGCCCGTATAGGAGAAAAAAAATGGGACAGCTAATGCACAGTGAGGATGCGACGGGCACCATCCTACATCCTACGCCCCGTCGACCTTGGCCATGTGCTTGATCAGGTCAACGACACGGCACGAATAGCCCCACTCGTTGTCGTACCAGGCCACTAGCTTCACGACCGTGGGGTCCAGCATGATGCCCGCCTTGGAATCGAAGGTGCTGGAGATGGGGCACGTCTCGAAGTCGGTGGACACGAGAGCCTCGTCGCAGTAGCCCAAGTATCCCTTCATGCCGCCCTCGGAGCGCCTCTTGATCTCGGCGCAGATCTCCTCGTAGGTCGTCGCCTTCTCCAGCCCACAGGTGAGGTCCACGACCGACACGTCGATGGTGGGCACGCGGAAGGCCATGCCCATGAGCTTGCCCGCCACCTCTGGAAGCCAAAGATGAGAATATTGTTGGACGCCATGTAGGAGTGCATGCAGTAATGCCGGAGGGCCTGCGCTTTCACGTTCATCTGGCAGAACGTTGCTCAGGGGCTCGTCGTTTTTTGTGAAGTTGCCGTCCTGCCAGAAGCCATAGCAGGCCTCGACGAAAGGCTTCGGCTGCAGGCCGTGCGTGGGTTTGATGATGGTGTCGACCACCAGGCCAGGCCCGTCGAACAGGCGCAGGTGCTGCGGCGGGACGTAGATGTCGTAGATCTTGTCGTAGCCGACGTCACCCATCCCCTGGTTAACCACCTTCTCCACCTTGTCGCCCAGCACCTCCTTCATCAGCTTCGTCAGCGGCTCGAACTCCGCCTTCAGCTCCTCCAGCTTCTTCTTCTCGTCCTCGTCCTCGAGGTCCACACCTTCCTTGGTCGTCGACTTGAGCTTCTTGCCGTCGAACTCCTTCAGCTGCTGCACGGAGTACTCATCGATGGGATCGGTCATGTAGAGGACCTCAAGACCCTTCTTGCGCAGCGTTTCCAGGAAAGGCGAGGACGACACCGCTGCGATGCTCTTCCCCGTAATGTAGTAGATGTCATTATGCCCCTCCTTCATGCGGTCCACATACTCCTTCAGGCTGATCATCTCATCTCCAGATCTCGAGGTGTGGTAGCGCATAAGCTCCGCGACCTCGGTGCGGTTGGTGGAATCTTCGTGCACGCCAAGCTTGAGGCACTTGCCGAACTGCTCGTGGAACTTCTTGTAGTCGTCCTTCTTCTCGGCGATCTCCACAAACATCTCGAGGCACTTCTTGACGAGATTCTTCTTGATCACTCGCAAGATCTTGTTCTGCTGCAGCGTCTCGCGGGAGATGCTCGGTTTGATGATGGTGTCGGCCACCAGGCCAGGCCCGTCGAACAGGCGTAGGTGCTGCGGCGGGACGTAGATGTCGTAGATCTTGTCGTAGCCGACGTCACCCATCCCCTGCTCGTATGATGATTGCCCTTTTTCACGTCGGGCTCGACACGGTGCGGCGTGCAGAGCACACGCGCCGGTGCACATCGCCCTGCGCGGGTGTGGTGCTTGGCCCTCTGCAGACTGCGAAAGCACGGGGAGGCGCGTCCTCTGAGGCCGCTGCGCCTCCGATGGCTCGAGCTCGCGGCGGCCTTGATGATGATGATGATGATGATGATGATGATGATGATGATGATGATGATGATGATGATGATGATGATGATGATGATGATGATGATGATGATGATGAGTGATGAGTGATGAGTGATGAGTGGGTGATGATGTAGGTGTGTTCTGGTTCTGGTTCCTGCGCGGGGTGTCCAGAGAAAACAAGAACCCCACTTTGGATGTGGGGAAAAACAAACCCGCCTTTGGGGGGGGGGGGTCCGAGGTGGCATGAATTTGCACGCGTATGAAACGGCAGTAACTCGTTTTCTCTACCTCACACTCGATTGCTTTCTCGGGCCTCATTGCGCTGACATGCGCGGTGGCGGAGTTTCCCATGAATTGGTTTGTGCTTCGGACCACGACTTACGCTACCAAATCGTTTCTACTGACGGTTGTCGGGCAGCGACGGCAGAGTTGTGGATTCAGCAGGAAGTGGAACTTAAGTGGATATAGGTGAACCAGCGCGTACCATGATGCTTTCTCGCTCGGTCCACTCAACCAGTCGGCGCCGAGTGCGTGCGCTTACTAGCGAATGAAAGCATTAAGTCACAAGCTGATTCACCGCGTTGTGAAGGCTGAGCCCGACCACTGCGAGCTCACATACCGCCGATCCGCTGCCAACTCTGCCGTTGCCTGAGCAGCTCCCGCTGCTAGTTGTCCTGATTGGCTCTCTTTCTGCTTCCTGTATGGAGGGCCAAAGTGCCCACGAAGCATATCCGCTGGCCCGCGGCAAACCCCGCCACCGTGCCCGAGCAGCAGCGTCGCTGGTAGAGAAGATGAACTCAGTGTTGCCTTCAGTTCAGCACCTCGCGTGAAAGCGATGCGGACGATGAGGATGCATATTTGCGAAGATGTCACGATTCCGATGAGGAAAAGGTCGCGTTGAAACCTATAGGCAGATGAGACTGAGCATGACATCAGCGTGGGTCTTGAGATGCATGTCCGATGACACAGTATGCACAACGATGACGAATACGAAAGTCAATACGAAGAGTCGGGGTACAGGTTGGTGCCCCCCGGGAGAATCCCGAGACACTTGCAGTCCACGAGGAGGACGAGAAAGCATGTTCATACCAGAACCACAAGTGTCCGCGCCCACCGCGAGGACCCTTCGTCTGGACTGGCCAGCGAAGCCCTGCGCGGGCAGCGTACGCGAGAGTGCCCGAGCAATCGATCGTAGGACGGGAGGACAAACCAAAAATATCCGCGCCCTCCGCAGAGGACCCCGAGACTCTCGCAGTCTGGGCGGGCCAGGAGTGCCGCGCTGAGCTACCGAAACCCGGTGGCGGGCACCGCTGCGCCCGGCTGCTGCGGGCGCTGCTGGGGGCGGATGAGGTTCGCGTGCAGTAGCCGAGAATCGGGGTTCGAGGATCCCAGACCCCCTCGGGCAATAGCAAATCACAATGGGGAGGTTTGTCGTTATTTTCGGCCCCTGGAGGCCCTGACCAGCTCTCGGGGCCGTCAAAAGATGATTCAGGATGAAAAGTCGGCCAAGGGGAACGAGTCGAGTCAGACCCCTTGAGGTCGGCCAGTATCGTTTAAGCGATCCCCTATCACGATCCCCACATGCCAACACCCCAGTTGAGGATATACCGCCCCCTCGAAACCCGAAGGGAACGGCCTATATCCGATATCCCCATCTAGAAAGGTAAATTGGCCAGGGGGGCCCGGGCAGGGATCGGTTAAACGATGCTCACTCGAGGATCCCAGACATCCACCCTGTATTCATGGCTCATGGCTTTTCAATGGCTTCGAGCCGGGCGTTTGCGCACAGTTTCGGATTCTGGGACCCTCACATATCGATCCGGCTCTACAAATGCCGCAGGAAGTGTGAGTCTAGAGCTCCAGTTGTGTTTTTGTTTCGCCATGCTATTTGTTTCGCAACATCGGATCTCAGGGCACCGTCTTGAAAAAGGCAAGGAGGTGTTTGTTCACCGTGTTCGGCTTCTGGAGGCCTTACCGGGCTCCACGGCCGTCAAATAGCAGCTCAGGATCAAGAACCGTCCCTGGGGCAAAGGTCGGGATTTCTGGGGTGCCGTGCTGAAGAAGTCAAGACATCGGACAGATCTTACTAGCCTGAAACATATCCCTATCCCTATGATGGGCATCAGCTTATCTCGATGCCGATCGTAAGGATTACCTCAGGTTCTGAGGACGCATCCCTAAGATTGTCGTCGCCGTCTGGCTTGTCAATCTTAGAGGCAGGGATGGGTTCGAGGCTAGTTCATATTGGATCGAGTTGCTGGAAAGGTTTGGCCCAATGTGTTTGCCTGCTCCACGGGCCAGATTCCCCCCGACAGTCTGGCCGCGGCGCACCCTTGGAGAAGCGTCCGGGGCTCGATGTCTCAGCGCCGCCATGACGAAGCAGGGGGCCCTCTGCCGGGGGAACGTAAGACTCGAGTTCGCCGGAACGTGGGTTTGCCGACTTTTTTGGGCGAGCCCGCCCGGAGTTTGGAGGGTCCCGTCTCCGTGGGGTGTTTGCAGTGGGATCTCGCGTCAGGTTTCAGACGGGTTCTCGTCGTTTCCCTGACGGCCCCGTCGGGCCACTCCGGGTTTCCTGAACCCGAGTCTTCGTCCCCCCGCCTACAGGAGAGGGGCCTGGAGGTCTTTCGCCGTCTTCCGCGAGGGCCTCGGGGCCTCTTCACAGAGAACAACACATGGTGGCAGGCTCCAGAGTCCAGGGTCTGGTTCCCCCAGGACCTCGGCTCCTCGTACCAAGGGCCGCAGAAGAGACCAGGGTTGTGCCTAAACGCTGTTTTACTGGATTTCGGCTGTGTTTTGTTTCTCGTATTGGGAGGAAGGTACAGGAAAACAGGTAGAGCAAAACGAAAAACATCACGAAAACAAAACGAATAACAACGTTTAGGTCCAGCCCTGAAAAAGACGATTGCATCAGAGTAGATCCTCGAATTTCCGCCCAGATTCTTGAATCGGCGCTGGACTGCAATGACGGCGCCGCCCCTGGCGCGCTCCGCGAGCCAGCGAAGGGGGCCCAACGCCAGTCCAAGAAATCCGCGCGGGCCTCCGAAAGTCTGTGCTTATGTTGCTCTTCCTCAGTTCATACAGTAGTCACCTAAGACAAGAAACCAGCCTCCCAGCAGGTGCCCCACGGAAGTTTCTGATCCCCCGATGGCCTTTGGCCTTGAGGGCCCACAGAAGCCCTGGAGCACCTCAGAACCTTTGAAATTCGACTAATCGTATGCCCCACGATTTCGTATAGCAAGATTTCTGACCGTGTGCGTCTACTGTAGAGGTGCGGGGCATGTTGGAGGCTGTCCAGGGCCTGTACATGCTGCCCGAGCGGGACCGCGGGCAGGCCTCCTGCGAGGTGATGCAGGGCGGGCAGTACCACTGCGCCTCCATGGCGGGGATTCTTGGGCCCACGGTCAACCGGAAGCTGCTGCCGTACGTCCGCCACAGCTTCTGCTGCCCTGAGGCGGTCGTGTGTTCTGTGGTGGTGCAGAGGCACGCTGCAGGCGGCGGCGGGGCCGGGCCACGTTGCCGTTGCGCCGCCGAGCTTGGTAAGACTTCGGGCTGCGCACAGACAGCTCCCCCGGGTAGTCCTGGCTGGCCTCAATAGGCTCCCCGAGTAGTCCGGGTCGATCCCAACACCCCTTCCTCTCCGGCGCGGAGCGCCCCAAGGGCGCCGCCGGAGGCGGCGCCAGGGTGTTAAGATTGCCCTAGGTAACTTAGGGGACTTGTTGAGGCCAGCCAGGACTACCAGGGGGACCTGTCCGTGCGCAACCCAAAGCCTTACCAGCCGAGCCCCTGAGCTACTGTAGCGCGGTGCTCGCACTGAACCCAGAAGAGGTGGAGGGCGGCGTGTTCCTGCAGAGCGGCCCCAACGCCGACGAACAGGGCTTCGTGGCGCTGGACGCGGGCGACGCGCTGCTGCACCAGTCCGACCTGCGGCGCGGCGTGCGCGTGCGGGACGGCGTGTTGTACGTGGTCATCTTTCATTTCAAGGACTCCGTCCTGGCGTGTCTCACGAACACGGCCCCGTGGTACGAAGAGCTGGCCGCCGCTGGGGACGCGGACGCGCAGGCGCAGTTCGGCGCCCTCTGCGAGCAGGGGCTGGGGTCTGGAGGAGGCGCGGCCGCCGACGAGGGCGCGGCCGTCAGGTGGTATTCGCTGGCGGCCAAGCAGGGTCACCCAGATGCCCAGGACCGCCTGGGGGCGTTGCTCGCGGCCAGCGGCGCGGCGCAAGACCTGCGGGACGCGGTGCACTGGTGGCACGCCGCGGCGCGGCAGGGCCACGGCGGCGCACAGTGCAGTCTGGCGCAGATGCTGCTGCGCGGCCTCGGCACGGACAGGAACGAGGAAGAGGCCTTCGAGTGGATCTGCAGGGCTGCAGAGCAGGACGTCCCTGAGGCGCTGTACCTCGCAACGGTCGCCTACAGCATCGGAGTAGGCACCGCGCCAGACGAGCACGCCGCCCTGGCGATGTGCGCCCGGGGCGCGGAGCAGGGCCACCCGGAGTTGCAGCATCGCCTGGGCGTGCACCTGGCCACCGGAGAGGGGGTGCCCCGCGACGCCCGCCGGGCCGCTCAGCTCTTCGAGCAGGCCGCAGAGCAAGGCCACACGGCCGCCGCCTGCAACCTCGGCGTGCTGCTCGCGGCGGGGGGGCCGGGCCTGCAGAGGAGCTCCGGGGAGGCCCGCCGCCGCTTCGAGGCCGCCGCCGCAGCGGGCGACGAGGGGGCCCGGCGCAACCTTGCGCTGCTGGAGGGCGGCGGCTTCGAGGCCTCGTCGCCGCAGCGCGATCCCAAGATCAGCCTCGACAGCGCCCAGCTCTCCCGGCTGCGTGGCATGCTGGGTGTGCTCGACGCCATGGACGGCCTCGGCGCCGGCCCCGACCTGCAAGAGTTGGTGGACATCCTGCAGTGCGTGGAGGAAGCGGCCGTCGTTGATGCCGCCGAGGAGCCGTGGCGACGCCAGCGCCGGGCGGTGCCGCGCATCGACGCCGAGCAGGCGGAGGCGCTGCAGGAGGCGATGGCGTCTGGGGCCCCTGTGCTGCTGAAGGGCGCCATGCCACACCTAAGCGGCGCGCGCGTGCTCGACTTCATGCCGACGCTTCTGCACCTGGCCGGCCGGGACGGGGTAGTGTACGAGGCCAGAGGGACAGAGAATTGCATACGCTTCATTTTCCAGAGGTCCGCGCAGAGCTCTTGGATCGGCCCTGGATCCCCTCTGGCGGCGCCTCCAGCGCCGCTCCTGGCAAGAAGTAGCACATGCTTGAGCGGCTCGACAGCACGCGAATCATAGCAGGCAGCAAAGGCCTGAACGCCTGCCGGGGGTCACAATATGACACCGAGGGGAAGAGTAGCAGATCTCGCTGCCGGAAGCACTGCTCCGCCGCCCCCCCCCTTGAGAGAGGACGGGTCAAGCAGTGGCGAAGCGTCCTGACTCGCCTATAGCCCTACCAAACAATGATCTATGAACCTGTTGTGGTTTCCACGGAATGTTTTTAGAACATTTCTGGCGGAGTCTGTCTTGTTTTATCGCATCGGGCCTGTGTTCTACGAATATTGTTTTTGTACTGAAAGCACTGTTGGGTTCTAAGAACATCTCGTGGTAGGACTATAGGATTGCCGGGACGGTCGGTCCCTGCCCGGACTGGGGCCTGACATCCGAGGCGCGGGGCGCAGGGCCCGACGCGGCGGTCGAGGAGCGGCGCGGGCCCCTGGCGCGGGTGGTGCAGGAGGTCCACGGCGCCCACGCGGGCAGCTCCTGCCTCATGGTGTGCGGCCGCGTGCTCTGCAGGGAGTGCCTCTCGGAGCTCTCGTCGCCGCCCTCGTGCTGCGCCGCGGGCCCGCTGGGCGGCGCCCTCCCCGAGGCGTTGCGGCCCGTGGCGGAGCGGTACCTGCTGCTCGGCAGCGGCGGGGCCCGGGGCCGGCTTTGCAGGGACCCGGCCCTGTGGTGTTCCTGGAGCCTCGCGGTGCTGGGCCGAACCAGCTGGCGGCTGCTGCCCCCCGGCGCGCAGGTGCCCGCCGCGCAGGACGGCGACTGCTGGGGCGGCGCCACGTCGGAGTTGGACCTCTTCGCGGCGAGCGGCGGCGCTCGGCATCGTCTAACCGATGCCCGTGCCCACGGGGCCATGGTCAGAGTGAGGGGGCCGAGCGGTATTAAACCATCCCTGGGTGCGTGGGTGAAGTGGGATTATGTGGCCCCGATTATGCTTGTTTGTTTTGTTGACTTCTCATTTCTGAAGAATCAGTATTGTTGATCCCTCCTCACCAGTGCATATTGTTTTTCTCAATCAAACTGTGCCCCTGGCCCCCTGATTACAACAACATTGGCTCCCGCTTGTGACTTCCTCCAAATTTACTCAGGACCCCCCCTCCCGGCCGAGACTTCCTCCCAATTTACTCAGGAACGGCGCTCCCGCTTGAAAGTTCCTCACAACTTAGTCCGGGTCAAACTGCGTTGCTGCTCCCCCGGACTACAACAACGGCTCCCGCCTGAGACTTCCTCCAACTTTCCTCAGGACCCCCGCTCACGCCTGAGAATTCCTGCCAATTTACTCAGGATCGGCGCTCCCGCCTGTGACTTCCTCGCAATTTAGTCAGGACCACCCCTCCCGCCTGAGGCTCCTTCAAAAATTATTCCAGAACGACGCTCCCGCTTAAGATTTCCTTGCGCTTTAGTCTAGACCCCCGCTCCCGCCAGACATCCCCCTTTTCAGGAATTGCGCTCTCGCCTGTTACTTTTTCGCGGTTTATTCAGAAATCGCGCTATATACGCTCAGTCACCACGCTCGCGCCAAGGACGCCGTCACACTTTACTTAGGAATCGCGTTCTCGCCCTACTCAAGATTAATGTCCCACCCGCCCGACCCGCCCATCAGAGGATCGCCCGCCCGTCGTGGGCTGCCGCCCGAGACTTTCTTGTGGAATGGCGCTTCCGCCTAGGACTTCTTCGAACGTTCGCACTCTTACCTTCCTGCTCCTCCCTCCTCCCGGGCCGCCTCCACCCTCCTTCCGATTCCTTCTCCCTCGCACGTCAGTTGATGTCGAATTTCCATTCCTGAAGAATGATTTCTGTTGGTCCCCACCATTACGCATTGTTTTTCCCAACCCTCCTGCGTTGGGTACTCGTTTTGAACAGAGCACTGCGGTCTCCACCTTCCTTCCTTCCCGCCTCCTCCTCCTCTCTTCCCTCTTCCTCTCCTCTCCTGCTTCCCTTCTCCGCCTCTCTTCGCTCCTCCTCTTCTCTCTTGCATCCCTTCTCCTCTCTTCGCTCCTCCTCTCTTGCTTCCCTTCTCCTCCTCTCTGCGCTCCTCCTCTTCTCTCTTGCCTTTTACGTCATCCCTTTGGGGCTGCGATCTGTGAAACTGTCGCCACTTTCGAGGGCTGCTGGTGGGTCCAGCGGAGTGAGGCACCACGCAGATTCAGATTAGACCTCGCCATCCCTGGGGGGCTGCGATCTGCGAAACTGTCACCACTTTCGAGGGCTGCTGGTGGGTCCAGCGGAGTGAGGCACCACGCAGATTCAGATTAGACCTCGCCATCCCTGGGGGGCTGCGATTTGCGAAACTGTCGTCACTTTCGAGGGCTGCTGGTGGGTCCAGCGGAGTGAGGCACCACGCAGATTCAGATTAGACCTCGACTTTCGAGGGCTGCTGGTGGGTCCAGCGGAGTGAGGCACCACGCAGATTCAGATTAGACCTCGCCATCCCTGGGGGTTTGCGATCTGCGAAATTGTCGTCACTTTCGAGGGCTGCTGGTGGGTCCAGCGGAGTGAGGCACCACGCAGATTCAGATTAGACCTCGCCGTCCCTGGGGGGCTGCGATCTGCGAAACTGTCGCCACTTTCGAGGGCTGCTGGTGGGTCCAGCGGAGTGAGGCACCACGCAGATTCAGATTAGACCTCGCCATCCCTGGGGGGCTGCGATCTGCGAAATTGTCGTCACTTTCGAGGGCTGCTGGTGGGTCCAGCGGAGTGAGGCACCACGCAGATTCAGATTAGACCTCGCCATCCTGGGGGGCTGCGATCTGCGACACTGGTCGCCACATTCGAGGGCTGCTGGTGGGTCCAGCGGGTGAGGCACCACGCAGATTCAGATTAGACCTCGCCATCCCTGGGGGGCTGCGATCTGCGAAACTGTCGCCACATTCGAGGGCTGCTGGTGGGTCCAGCGGAGTGAGGCACCACGCAGATTCAGATTAGACCTCGCCATCCCTGGGGGTCTGCGATCTGCGAAACTGTCACCACTTTCGAGGGCTGCTGGTGGGTCCAGCGGAGTGAGGCACCACGCAGATTCAGATTAGACCTCACCATCCCTGGGGGGGGCTGCGATCTGTGAAACTGTCGCCACTTTCGAAGGCTGCTTTGGGGGCCAGCGGAGTGACGTCCTGCGGGGACGCAGATTCGACCTCGCCAGCGCTGGGGGGCTAGGATATGTGAAACTGTCGCCACTTTCGAGGGCTGCTGTGGGGCCCACGAAACTGTCGCCACTTTCGAGACCTGCTGCGGGGTTCAGCATAGTGACGTCCTACGCGGACGCAGATTGGACCCGTCATTCTACTTCGATTATCCCGCATCTGCGATCGACTGTATGTGTGCGAGGAACTAGACATGGAGTGGTCTGGCACTGATTGACGTCAAATCGTTGTGTGCCAGTGTCTCCTGGGGTGTTGCCTGATGTGGATGCAGCTCGTCGGCGCTGCGACTCGAGCTGGCGGTCGTCCTTCGGACCCGCAGAAACATCTGCTGAGCTCGATGAGCTAGGGGAACTACAGGAAAGAAGTGCAGGAAACGGAGGCCGGTCATGCACTCGCCGATACCTCGTTGCTCTGTCATCGTCTTTGCTGTTGCATGATCCTTATCTGGCCTGCCGGCGCCGCGGCTCGAGCTGGCGGTCGCCCTTCGGGCCCGCGGGAACATCTTCTGAGACAAGTGGACGCCGCCGCCTTACTTGCAGGCAGCGCATTGCATTCGCGGACAGCAGCATGGCAGACCGCAGTGAGATCCTCAGTCGCGTGGTGTTGCCAAGCCTGGTGGAGACGCGCGTGATCGACCTGAAGTCCCAATCGCGCGTGCACTGTACCTGCGTGGCGTTCAGGCACGCGCGCGATGCTGCTCGCTCCGCGTTCAACCAGTACGTCGCCAGTGCAACTTTGGACGATGGACAACCGATTGATGATACGCGACCCCGGCCTTGAGTTTCTTTCCCGCGGGCCGCCCGCAGACCTGGCGACGCGCCTGCGAGCGTTCAGCTCCCGCGCTGAAATGCGCGGGAAGGAGGCGGAGAAGCTAGCGGGCGAGCTACGCCTCGCTCGTTCCTTGCACTCTAAACTAGTTTTATCATGTGGAACTCTGCGACGACATGGCGCAGGCAGCGCTGCGGGTTTAGCTCGCACTTGAAAAACGCGGCAGACTTCTGTCTCCTCCCGCCACTTTCATCGTCGTCCTATTCCCCGCCTCACCTTCTCCATGCATGCTGCTGCTTCCGCGATGGCCTTTCGCCCCCCCCGCCCTCCATTCCATCCCTCTCCTGCCCCTCGTTCCCGTGCCCGTTCTTCTTCGATCCTGGGGCCTCAATCCTCGTTCTTTCGATCGTCGTCCTGTGAATCGTGCAGCGCATGCGCATCCCATGTAGCTTGCACAGCAAATCGCCGCGTCTACACTGTCGTTGTTCCTGCTAATGTTGGCGTACTCCTCTTGCCATTTGATGCACGTGGGTTGGGTACGTCGCAGGGTAATTTTCCCAACCCTCCTGCGTTGGGTACTCGTTTTGAATAGAGCACTGCGGTCTCCACCTTCCTTCCTTCCCGCCTCCTCCTCCTCTCTTCCCTCTTCCTCTCCTCTCTTGCTTCCCTTCTCCGCCTCTCTTCGATCCTCCTCTTCTCTCTTGCATCCCTTCTCCTCTCTTCGCTCCTCCTCTATTGCTTCCCTTCTCCTCCTCTCTTCGCTCCTCCTCTTCTCTCTTGCCTTTTACGTCATCCCTTTGGGGCTGCGATCTGTGAAACTGTCGCCACTTTCGAGGGCTGCTGGTGGGTCCAGCGGAGTGAGGCACCACGCAGATTCAGATTAGATCTCGTCATCCTTGGGGGGCTGCGATCTGCGAAACTGTCACCACTTTCGAGGGCTGCTGGTGGGTCCAGCGGAGTGAGGCACCACGCAGATTCAGATTAGACCTCGACATCCCTGGGGGGCTGCGATCTGCGAAACTGTCGTCACTTTCGAGGGCTGCTGGTGGGTCCAGCGGAGTGAGGCACCACGCAGATTCAGATTAGACCTCGACGTTCGAGGGCTGCTGGTGGGTCCAGCGGAGTAAAGGCACCACCATGATCATTTTAGAACCACTCATCGCCATCCGGGGGTCTGCGATCTGGCGAAATTGTCGTCATTTTTTTTTTCGAGGGCTGCTTGGTGGTCCAGCGGAGTGAGCACCACGCAATTCAGATTTGACCTCGCCCGTCCCGGGGCCTGCGATTTCTCGAAACCTGGCGTCTCTGTTCGAGGGCTGCTGGTGGGTCCAGCGGAGTGTGGCACCACGCAGATTCAGATTAGACCTCGCCATCCCTGGGGGGCTGCGATCTGCGAAATTGTCACCACTTTCGAGGGCTGCTGGTGGGTCCAGCGGAGTGAGGCACCACGCAGATTCAGATTAGACCTCGCCATCCCTGGGGGGCTGCGATCTGCGAAACTGTCGCCACATTCGAGGGCTGCTGGTGGTCCAGCGGAGTGAGGCACCACGCAGATCCAGATTAGACCTCGCCATCCCTGGGGGGCTGCGATCTGCGACACTGACCCACGTGGGAGGGCTGCTGGTCTGCGAAACTGTCGCCACATTCGAGGGCTGCTGGTGGGTCCAGCGGAGTGAGGCACCACGCAGATTCAGATTAGACCTCGCCATCCCTGGGGGTCTGCGATCTGCGAAACGGTCACCACTTTCGAGGGCTGCTGGTGGGTCCAGCGGAGTGAGGCACCACGCAGATTCAGATTAGACCTCACCATCCCTGGGGGGGGCTGCGATCTGTGAAACTGTCGCCACTTTCGAAGGCTGCTTTGGGGGCCAGCGGAGTGACGTCCTACGGGGACTCAGATTAGA